GGAGTTCTGTGTTTGGGATGAACCAGTTTGTGTCTGAGTGTGTGGCTGGGTCTAAAGTACACTGGGATGTTGTGCTTGGAAAAGACTCCTGAGTTTCTCTGATAAACCTGCTACATAGGAGATGATCGTTCCGCTTGTCTTTCTGATCCTCCCTAGTTGGTGTCTGATCTTCTTTTCTGTGCATCTTTGCTGATTTGGTGAAAGCCCAATTAGGCTAACCACATGTTATAAGAGCTTCCATGTTACATGTGTGTGTTCCCTCTTTTTCCCTTGTGGCTTAGTGGGAACATTTTCTGCACGGTCTTATAAGCTGCTTGTTTAAGTGAAAATACATTGATGGGTTTTTTTGCACTAATAAAGTTGAGGAGTTGTAAAGTATTTTGTCTCGTGTCAATTATATCGTCAGTTATATCGTTATCGCAAATTTTCAAATGTATATCGTGATAAATATTTTTGGTCATGTCGCCCTGCTCTACTTCAGATATCCAGCACCAAAACTCTGAACTGGTGGAAAGAACCAAAAGAGCCTGGATGTAATTGTCAGGTGTATTGCCGTGACAGTGTGAGCAGTTGTTAGATGACGTAAAGGCCATCTTGAACATCTGTTGACCTGTATAGTGCACTCTACGTAGTATTTTGTATTGTATTAATAGTAGAGTGGGATTTCTAATCAATTTAAAGGTTTTTCAGCATATCTGACACCAGAAGTTTTGGTCTAAGCTGACTGATAGATGCACTTCCCATTTTGCAAGGGAAAAGATATCGATTCATCTATTTTTGAGAGTGTCCTGTAGATATCTGACTTTCAAAATAAAAGCTTGTCTGCATACCCAAGGTATCAAAATGCCCCCACCCGCACGTTTTTTACTTTTTATTTATTTATTTATTTATTCATTTACTCTGATAAATCTGCTCAGCTTTTTATCCAACTTTTTTCCATCCAAGCTTTTGGCAGCAAAACACTGGTCAGCTCCATTAGCAGCAACATTGGACATTCATTTCTCTAGAAATTGAGATAATTAGTGCACTGTGCTGATAGCAAAATCTTTTAGTCTAGAATCTAATGACAGCTCACACAGTAATTTACAGAAAATGAAATTGAGTATGTGTGTGTGTTTGTAGGAAGGTCCAGTGAACAGTGAACGTTATCTGTCATGGGCAAACGTCTTCCTGGTGGTCTACAGCATCGATAACATGGAGAGCTTTAATGGCTGTCAGCTGTACCTGCAGACACTTGCCTCACACAACAAAACCTTCAGGCCACAAACTCCCATCATTCTTCTGGGCAACAAGAAGGACATGGACAGATACAGGCTGGTATCTGTGTGTGTGTGTGTGTGTGTGTGTGTGTGTGTGTGTGTGTGTGTGTGTGTGTGTGTGTGT